TTTTTTATTGTATTTATACACAGTGATCAGGAAATCTAACACACTAAATTGATGAGTAATTTCCCCTATAAAAACAGCCTCTAGGTATAAAAATTTCTTTTGACATTTTTTCCCAAACATGGAAGTAATAAATAAATGTATCATGACTTTTTTATTTTTGAGAATGTGTTCATAGTGTGTATGATATATGGTGCATTTTTACATTATTGAATTCTATTTACAATAGATAAGTCATTTACATAATGACATGATTAACTATGACTATACCAGAATGCTTTGCCAAATCTGAAGGCCAATAATTTATGCAACTCAACATGTCAATCAATACTAATATGTATCTCACTACTACAACATGGAAATAATTGACTTCAAGGCATTACAGACCAATGTATGGGGGTAGGGGAAATGTACTAAGAGCAGGCTTAAAACAAGTGTTGCATCATAAGTCTATAGTCCTATAACCATTTACACAGTACAATTCTATTGTGCCTTTATGRGATATTTGACATTTATACACTTATTCATGAAATACCTATTATATATACTTGATTTATATGGTTCATGTTCCATGGTTTTAGAGTTGCTCAATCATTATTGATCGCCATAGACTATAAGTGCTGTAATTTAATTTATTACTATTTAATGCTAATTATGTACTGGGTGGCTTCCTCGTATCAAATGGCAGGATGACTGCAAAAATAAAAATAATTCTTCTTTTTCAAGTTAAAATATAAACCTTTGGCTTTTTGTTTTAGAAAAAAACACCAAAGAGACATAAAATTGAACTTTTTTAAAATGTTATATCATTTGAGAGTCACCCCACTCTTTTCATTAAGAATCATCCACTTAAAATTTTTTACAAGGTAAACCATATCAAGTTCACAAGTCTAGGAAAACACTTTAATTATTCTATGTGTTAAAACAAGAAAGGGATGGTTACTACAGTAAATGTTAGTCTGTCACTGAACCAAATGCATCAGTCAGCGCCGAGTAGACAGTCCTGGTAAATTTCCAAATTATTTACAAACCAAAATTAACAAAATGGTGGCTTGCAGCCTAACCCATTTATTGACACTCTAAATATGTGGTGCAGACTATGAAGGTGATTCTCTTGGTTGTTCTGGTTGAGGAGCTGCTAGCATCATAGGATAAGAACCATTTGCTGTTTCTCTTGGTTGAGGAGCTGGTTGCATTRTTGGATAAGAACCATTGGTTGYTTCTCTTGGTTGAGGAGCAAGTGGCATCATTGGATAAGAACCATTTGGTGTTGCAGCAGAATTAATGCCACCATTTCTATATAAACCTTGTGGTGATGTAACCTAGAGCAGTAAAAAACATCAATTTGTTCTTTGATTATGATAGCAGTAAGATTATTATATGTATCTCAGGTAATTATTTTTGCATTATTAGAGCTTTAAATAGATTGACCACAGATTTCAAGTCAACCACATTAAAAGAACTGCTCTTACTGGTTTTGGTAAAGAACTAGCTGTAAACATGGATGCAATATCAGTAAAGTTGTTGGTGGCTTGCCCATAGGAAGGGGGAGGATATGATGGTGAATATGAAGGATATGCTGCTGAACCATTTTGTAGACTAACAGACTGAGGTGACGGAGTTGGAGTATTGATTATTCCAATCTAGAAGAAATATCACAATGGAATGATTATGCTTTGGATATTAAAGGCTAAAAATGTCTTTTTGTGATATAATATAAACATTGTATAATAATCAACCAATAATTTCATTTTTTTTTACCTGATTTGTTCTTATGTGAAATGGAAARTTTCGGTTTGCTTGAGTTGGTCTTGTGATAATCTATTTTGGATAAGAAATCAGAAATTAAAATAGAGTCACAGACACAAAATACCTTGGGTTATTTTGATGTCAATAAAGACAAAGCAATGCTGAATGGGAGGGTGGGGGTTTTAGTCACTTGATATTTAAAAATTTAACATCAATTGCATACCAACAATTTTTAACTCACTAAATTCCCTAAAAATATATGAAATTCCTAAAACATAATAATTATTGAATATCTAATTAGTATGTTGATTTTACCAAAAAAAAGAAGTGAGCCAACAATGAGACTGTCCAGTCTATTCCATTGACAACTTGCTCTCTGTACAACAAATAAAGTTTTCATTAATTTTAACTATTAATAAAATTAATAAAATTGAAAAAATTGTATWTGCAGATGCATTACCTTGCCCATGACACAATTACAAATGTTGAAATTATTACTATTACAGGACCTGCCAAAAACCTGTGGGATGAAAAGGAACATTATTATATTACCCAAAACAAAGATTTGTTTTTTATCTGTGCAACACTAATAGATTAATCCAAAGCGTTTCAAATTTGACTGTWAAATAAGCTTACACTCACCATGCTGTATAGAAGAACCAAAATGGATAATAAAATGGTGATTTGCTTGGATAATGTTTTAATGTGAAAAATGTACCATAACAGAACCACAGCCATGCCTAAAAGTCAATATTACAAATACTTAGCAAATTTTTACCTTCACTAGTTATTGAATCTTACATATATCACGGCAGTCTTCAGCGTTCCGACTACACGTCATAATTATCTTAATTTTGATAGTATAAGATAAGTATTCTAATTAAATAAATTTAGAGGTGCTCAATTGTAGCAAAATACAGATACTTGACTCTTCAAAAGCTGATTACATGTAAAATGTTTGACTATGTGGTAAACATTACAAAATTTTGAAGTGTACAGCAACTTTAAAATCTACAGTATTTATTGAAAAATAAAATTAGTCCAGCTTTACAGTAACTTTTTGTCAAGGACTTTCCTTCRTACTTACAATGACTCTAAGAACACATATTCCAATTCCTGCAGGACTCTCGTATGTATAAAGGACTTTACCTGGGTCAAATACCTACAAAGCAATTATTATTTGAAGTTTATATGCTGGAACTTGAAATAAAAAGAGGTCAATAACTAATACTTACCGCTGCTTCATAAATAAACAGAACTGCAAAGCACACAGCATATAAAGTACAAAATGCACTGAGTTTTACTTGACCAGAGCTGCTGATTCGCCCCCTGATATATACCAAATCATTCATTATTTCAATTGCTAAAACACATGTATAATTTACTGGTTGATTTTAAATGAT